TGTTTGAATGTTGGCTTAGCTTCTTCAGTTCCAATAGTGGTGGAGTCCAATACACTTTGGTCGTGATCAGTACAATGCTTAGGAATGAGCGTGGCATTTGGAATGTTAGCGGTGCTCAATCCACGATTGATCAGATCAAAGTCGAGTGGCCCAACGAAGTCAAGAGTATAGTCTAGAGTAGCTTCAAGGATCCCAAGAGTACAAACTAAAATAGATTCGTTAGTGGCTATCTCATCTATTGTTTGGTCGGGCTCTCTATCTGACTTGTTCCCATCATGTACAGGAGGAAGAACACTAGTAGCATCATCTCTCCCCATGCTCGCTTCCGGCAACTGTGGAGCAAGTCGTCTTCCAGTACAAAGTCAGTAAAGAAAGCAACAGCATCGTCTAGAGTCTACTTTTTTATAGTAGTTAGGATTTGACTAGTACTCTCGTGGACAGTCAGAGTATCATCGAAATGCACTCTTGGCGATGGACGACGATCCATCTCCCCATGAGTTGGTTTGTCCGAATCGAGGATGAGGTCCTTGAAAGAGCTGTCTTTCAAAGGAGCTGACTCGATATTGTAGTTGACCGATTGGCCTGGGCTGAACAGTATTGAAGGGGGCTTACAAGCTTTGTAGACCTCGAAACACTCAGGGATTGGTGAATCTTCTGGTGCTGCGTGAAAGCCAAATAGGTCGGCCATGTTGCAGTCAAACCATGTGAGATCGTCGGACGCGCGATGGTGCTGTTCGTACAGTCCATCAGTTGCAAGAACACAATTGAAGTTCTCAAAGAAATCAATCGTTTCATCTAGTTTAGAATCCTTAAAAGATAATTATTCTTAAGAACTCCTACAAGATCAAACAGGTGTTCTTCATCACCAGGATCGTGGTCGGGAACGGACTTTGCCCATTCTTCCATATTGTCAATCAAATGATCCAATACACTTGGTTCCCAATCAGTATCAGAAGTGAGTACGACATGTGGAATGTCAGGATTACTCAGCTCACGATCTGTTGGTGAACGCATTCGCAGATATGGGAGGCCATTGCTGATGTCAAGTGGTAAGACAAAGCTGTCTGGTGTTGTCAAACGCTGTCGACCACCAACTTTAGGAGACTTGTCGTCCACAACAATCTTGAAATGTTCATTTGTCCGCTGGACAGAATGGATTGACCCTTTCCAATGTAGGCTTGTTGGCGTATGATTGCAATGATGATGCGGGCATCGTCTCCAGCAATGCCACCGTTGGGACCTCTATCAATCAAGGCTAGATGTTTACAAGTGTTGGGTTTCTGATAACATTATGGTTATTAAATGATCGATATTTTACTCCATAAAACGTGAACTTGTGTTGTTTGGCTTCTTGTTGAGGTGTAGGCGGTGGACGTTTGGTAGCCGGTACGACAGCCAACTTACTAGACGTCACACACTGTTGCTCCCCATTCTCCAAATCCATTGGGTACTCATCAGTCTCATCTTGTTCAGGAAGAAGAGCATCAGAATCACTCCCCATGCTCGCATCCGGCAACTGAAGGAGCAAGCCGTGGCTAGTGCTGTCGGCAGAGACACTACAGACAAGATCGCCACTGCGTGGGTCCAATAAAGTTTGGTCCCAGTCAAGGTTGGAGACGAGTGTGGCATTACCAATGCTAGTGTCATTCAGATCCGTAGCAGTGTCAAAATCATCTAGTTGGTCGAGAGTCTCATCTTCAGAGGCTTCATTCAGAGTTAAAATAGTTTTACTATTCTTTAGGATGCCTACTCTATCGAATGGTCTCTCACCTTTGCCCTGTTCGTCCAGCTTGTCAATGTTGGAATCCAATAGAGTTTGGTCCCATTCAAGGTTGGAGTCAAATATGACATCATTTGCAATGTCACGCTTGTTCAGTGTCGGTCTACTAATGGTGCTTTGTGCGCCAACAAGTTGTGTGGCACGACTACCATTGAGTATATTGGCACCGTCAGACGTGCGAATACTAGGTTGTAGAGCGGAAGAAACAATAGTAGTAGGACTAATAGTGTCACTATACTGATTACTGATTACGTCTACTGTAGCTTGGCGGTCTGATTTGTCGCTCATTGGCTGTTGTAGCTCCCCATGTTTGGGTGCAAATTCGTTGCGTACGGTGGCTAGATGGCTGTCTGGGTTCGTCTCCATCTGTGTTGGAAGGAGAGTATCAGGGGACGAGTCAAGAGGTTTGCGATGATCAGGCTTGGAGACAAGAGGTTGTGGGAAAGAAGAATTATTGAAAACTATAAAATCACCACTACATTGATAGTTGAAGAATGCTTGTAAGTCAATGTTCATACAATTGATCGGGGTGATCGGATTGCGGTGGACGTTTTGACGAAGGTAAGCATACCCAAGTAAAGCCCGAAGAGTGCCACGATGGGGCCGCTCAAGCTGAGTAAGCTGAGTTTGGCCAGTATCCACCCCTTGTGCGTCAAGAATGGGTGCATCGTACTTCAGTTCCAGGAGCTCAGCCTCACTGTAAGAGAGGAGGTCCAAATAATACATCCATCACGACAAAGAGCAAGCATGAGTGGACTGTCAAGAGACGCTCGAAAGAGGGTCGTGACAGCAAAAAGTATCACCAGGTTGTACGGTAGCATTGGCAGGCGTACCGACAGTGGTGCCAACAGTTGGAGTTACAGGGCTGACCGGTTGATTGGTAGCACCAGCAGTATTAGCAGGTGTAGAGTTCGTACCGCTCCGAGTAGTTGGCATGTCTGGTTTGTTGTTGGGGTGGAAAGTAGGGGAAGAGTCCTCTGTTAGAATAAAGCAAAATGTGCTCTATCGTGAGTGCCTTTAGCGCTCAGAACAAACTCTCTGCAATCTAAATTCGTAATCGACTGTACAACACTTTCACCACTGTTGGTGAAATGGGATCTTAATAGATAAAAGAACAGTCGGACATTCGTGATATCAAACACGGACAGGAGTACGGTTCGAGTACGTACAGAGATGGATAAGTATTGAAGGTAGATCTAGATCTGTGACTAGTTTGTGAAGAACATTTGCGTATGTGCTTTATACGCCGCGACAGCTGGTGAGAGCTGACCCAGCATCACTGGCACCTGTTCCTATTGTAGGCAATCCATAGCCGACGTAGATTCAAGCTCAGTATACTCCAGAGGTAGCTAGAGCGTTGAGGCTCTCATTACAGCTACGGGGTTGATTATCTGACAGTCGATCAACAATGATCTCCACAAGCAGGTACAAAAAATCTCTTCCGGAAGCCATCTGCGTCAGCTCTCACCAGCTGTCGCGGCGTATAAAGCACATACGCACATGTTCTTC